ATTTTCCAAGGCGTGTGAAGTCGAGCACATACATGAAAATGTGTGAAGCTGGACACATATGCAAACACACAAGCATCTATCACAACCAATTACATATTTTCCAAGGCGTGTGAAGTCGAGCACATACATGAAAATGTGTGAAGCTGGACACATATGCAAACATACAACATCTTCCACAACACCAGTTACATATTTTCCAAGGCGTGTGAAGTCGAGCACATACATGAAAATGTGTGAAGCTGGACACATATGCAAACACTCAAGCATCTACCACAACCAGTTACATATTTTCCAAGGCATGTGAAGATGAACACATATGCAAACATAATCTCCTACCACAGACACAATACACATGTAACGTTTAATCCCAAGTATAAAGTCAAGCTCAAACAGGCTTACTGCGTGAAGCTGGACACCTGCATTTACTTATGCATCTTGCAAAACTACATCTGAACTTTTATTCTAATAGGTGTTTATGCAATTTTGTTCCTTTATTTTGTGAATATGTAAATTGCACCATTATGCTTACAAGATGTCAACATTATTAACCTGTACATAAATACTCATTAGAGAGCCTTTAATAGTTTAAGTTGGAAATACTAGTTCTTTGCCTGATTTATGTTGTGTAGTTTCTCGTCGGTGATCTTGAGTAATAACTGAGTATGGCATTTTTAGTTCCATTTAAACTGCAAAGTTTTAACACATGTACATGCACCATAAAGGATAAATAATATTGTATTGTATTTTAACCATTTTAATTTTATTCTTTGTCATTTTATTGCCTGTTCAAGTAAAAGATGTAATCTTGTAATGTTTGTAACTGTTTTTGGTAGAAATTTATGAAGCAGAAATTATAACGGAAAAGGTTTCAGTATATCTACACTAAAAGCAAATAAAAAAGAGCTCTCCATCTATCAGATATCTGCAAATCAGATAAGTTAAAGGTTAAGTCATAGGGAATTTTAAAGTTTATTATATCTATATTCTGATATCTGATACCATTTTTACATTTTGGATTGTCCATCTACAGTATACAAAAATAGTATAAATTTTTATATTTTGTAGATGACAATCTCTAATACTAAATACAACTGGAAATTGATATAACGCCTGAAAATTTGTGTATTTTTAGTAAGATCGAGTTTAACAAAAATGGGGTGGGGGTAACACAATAGACACATCACATACCTATTTATTTTAAAAGTCAAAAACCATTTGTTGAAATCTAAGTACGAGTGTATTAAACAAAGGCCAGTATATATATATATATATATATATATATATATATATATATATATATATATATATATATATATATATATATATATATATATATATCAACTTTAATGCAGCATTAAAGGTGAAAGGTTAAATTTAATTACCTTTTCGTTTAAGTAAAGGTTACCTTTTCAACTTTACTTTTTGTAAAGTTAATACAAAGATGACCTTGCTTTTTGGAGCACCTTTAATGAGATTTACTTTGCAAGTAAAGTTTTGTAAAGGTGTTTTTTCAAGCAGTGATATATACGAGTGGTTATCAAAAAGTTCGTGGACTGATGCGATAAAATTAATACTATGTAGTCGTTGATTACAAAATTTATATGGAACATACAACAACAAAAGTTTAAAAAGTGTTGAAAATTTCAGCTTGATATGATGATTATTTGCCAAATTATCATCAAATAAAAAGGGCATTATATGATCACCCGGCGCTGTCGCCAATGTCGTCAATGCACGCTCCTTCTGTCTCAATACACTTATCTTGATGAGATTCTCTGGAGTAAAGTAAAGACCTAAATCCGTCTTGTTTATATGACTTTACAATGTCATGAACTCCTGATTTCAATGCATTAATATTGTAAATATTAAATCTATACATAGAAAAATATCCTCGCTTGATTTTGCCAGCATAATTTTCTTGTCGGAGTTCAATGTCAACCAATGATCAACGTCACTTTTCGACGTGACTGACTTTGGGCACCCTGACTACAAATCGATATTAACCGTGTATCTCCTTTCTTGCTGAATCTCTTTTGGTATTTAAAAACAAGTACTGTGGATAAATTTTATTTTCTGTAGCCTGTTTAAACATTTTCTAAGGCTATGCAAGGTTTTTCAGGGGCTGAAACTTTATAAAATGTTGTAAAATGACACCTTACCCCCTTTCGACGTCATTTTTAACCTCTTTATTTTTTTGGTCATTCAAAATAAAATTTACGATAAAATTTCATTAAATGTTCAGAATGAGGTACAACATGCAAATTTTACGAAAAAATTGTGTCATATCACATGAGTGAATTAATGGGATTTTCGGATGCCAAATGCTCATTTAAGAAGAATTTTTCTCAGTTACACTTCGGTAGAAAATACATTCTTTTCGAGGTTGCGCCACCTGGACATACTATTGCTTACAAAAACATTTAAGATTCACTAAAAAATAAAACATGATTTATAGTTTATTTTACAGGCAGAAAAGATGCTGCTGATTAAATGTTTCAAAATTCATTGATGTACATATAGCGGTTTAAATTTTATGGCGCTAGTCCACGAACTTTTTGAGAACCCCTCGTATATATATATATATATATATATATATATATATATATATATATATATATATATATATATATATATATATATATATATATATATATATATTCATCTTTTGAAGTCGAGTGCTTTTTTCAGTTTAATTGGATACGCTAATAAATTACTGTTAGGATGCTTTTCATAATTTATTAAACGTATAACATATGATTTCAAAATATCAAGTAAAAGGTGACCATAGGATTTATATACAATCCTTCATTAATTTAAGAAAACAAGAACCATAGTTCGGTTCAATAGTAATGTCTTCTATATTTCTAAAAGGTCTCATGTGAAGATTAAAAAAAATTAAAAGTGTTCAATGCTTAAATCACTTGGGACATATGAACACGTATAGTCCAAGAAGAGATTTTTAGTCAAAATTTTAAATCAACATCTCATAAAATAAAATGTGTTTATAATGTTTTATTCATTCCTGTTTTCAAATTTTTTTCAAATTCAGCCTCATATTTATGTTCAGCCTCATATTTATATGCAGAACAATAAATTTTGATTTATATATTCTGACCAAATTGCACAACTTTGAGTCAGCGGTATTAATTTAAAGCAAATTGATAGTAGTTCCTTTCAGACCTTGTAAAACAAATCTAATTACCGTCATACATGTACATTAAAGTACCAAATAGCACAGATAAATCTTGCAAGGCACGCAGGTTTGTTTATGTCAAAGTCGAGTAGGTACTTGAAAATCAAGTGCAAGACCTAATCCCCATCTCCACCCCAACAAATGCAGCATACAGCGAAATTCAGCACGCCGAACACTTTGATGAATCTAGTATATGCAGGAAGTCAACATACAGTTTTTCAACTAGGCTAAGTCTAAGGCAAAAATATCGGAATCTTGAGGGAGACTAAGAATTTATTGAAAAAACAAAAAGCAGAACAATCCGTATGAAAAATGTCGGTCAAAATATAACCCAACAATAGGCTGCATTTGCAAACGAGGTTATTACTTAGATCATACAATTAATGATCATGAAATGTTGATTTTGAATTTTTGAAAGCCTTACAACCTCGATTAATTTATCAGTAGCCTTCATTTGTTAATCATTGATAGTGCTTTGAAGATGCTCTTGCGACTGAATCAGGTGGATAAACACAATATGTACGTGATATTGAAATGTTACTTCATAAATAAGGGAAGTTGACGATTGAGAAATTTAAGTCATTAAACTTGTGAAATGCTGCAGGGATTAGTTGGTCATATATCTATAGGGCATAAAAAATATATAAAAAGATTTTATTTAGCTCAAGCTATTTCTTAATCAAGTTTAAAGATAAGTATCCCATCAAAAACTACTCCAGACTAATTAATTTTTACCCGTATGACACAAGGCTTTTTTAAAACTCTTTATTGTTTACTAGTGCATAACAAAAAAAACATGGCAAACTATCAAGGATTGTCATTTATTATATAAAAACATGGGCAATTTTTTTTTAATTTTAAAAAAATTCTGTTTTTTTTTTCTTAAAATTATTTCAGTAAGATTAGATCCACGTTCTCATGATTTGATTTTGTATTATTGACGCCCCGAAATTAAATTATTGATACAAAATATTAAATCTTTAGAAAGAAAAAAAATTAATCGTTTGGTAATTAATTCGAGTTACTGTAAGTTGCAGTAATCGCAGGGAAAAAAAATGATTGTTTACTTATACCCAGGATTGATTTTCATCTCCAGTACAAAGATAAACAGAAATTCTGTAACATGGAAAATATATTAGATGTTTATGTTATAGCATTGTGTGAGAATGTAGGAAAAGGAATAAATATAATGAATAAAGCTCAATCAACAGAACTGGTACTGGTCAATCAACAGGTACTGGTCACAAAGAAATCCACGCTGATCTTTGCAAAATGTAGACGATTTTTATTTCTGGAAAGGAATGAGGGGGGGGGGGGTTAAAATTGACGTTCAATATTGATAACTTATGGGACATCAGTAAAGTGCTTATGTTTTTAAGCTTTAATATTTTTTTCATCATGATAATCTTTTTATTACGCACTGATGTCTCAAATAATTAAAGACGTCAACGTACTAAAACCGGAACCTGTGTAAAAAGAGGTCTGCAATTATTGGATAAAACTTTACTCCTATGAATAACAATTTGCTTTGTCCAACAATTCTTGTTAAATAAATCTAAAAATTGTGCATATAACATTAACAATACATATACTCAATAAATGAACCTGCTTCAAGATCATTAAGATTTTTGTATTTATCCTAAATCATACTTCGTCTTTTGGATACCAGAAAATGTAATACTAAGTCTTGCACGTGCGGTCAAGACAAAAACATTAGGTAAAAATTAAACTTAAAGACTTTAGGCACCACGTATTAGCGAAATCATGTGATTGAAAGAAAATTTAGCCATCAAACCAGATGCCTTACCTTTAAAGATTTCCAAGCGGAGGAAAAATATACTCTAAGTAAACTTTTGTAACTTGGAGAACTTTCGGCGTATATATATGCATGTTGCGTTCAAATGTTTCATTGGCTGACCAGACCAATAAAAAATTACGTAAAATAAAGACAGAGCAGTGTCAATTTGCCCAAAGCAAATCATATATTTGAAAACACCTTATATGTGCAATTATGTAAGAAAATGTTTATATTGATGGTTCTAAACTTGGAAACAATCCATTTTGTTCTGCATCTTTTTTTAATGTGACTGATTAGATTTTTTCAGGGAAACATAAAAAAATCACTTCATCTAATGTTAATAAATGTGTACTTTTTAATTTAGCTTAAATCACAGATCCGGTTATTATCAATTTAAAACTACTTTATAAAAATAATATTTTAGTGCAGGTATATTTAAGAAGTAAACAGCAATGTTAAAAAGTTCACTGGGAAATGAACTTGGTTGGTCACGTGATCAAATCCTGTAAAGCCCGAAGGGCTTCTCAGAAGATTTGATCACTTACCAACCAAGTTCATTTCCCAGTGAACTTTTTAACATTGTTGTTTATTACTTTTATTTACATTTGAGACGAATATTCTGAATAGAACTGCATTTATTACACGAACGGCCCGCCGTATTGCTATGTTGTGACGCGGAATGACCTAGAAGCTGTTTGGTCTTGAGAGTTCGCCTCGCTCCAACATTTGAATACTGACATTGACGTTCAGCAGTTCAGTTCAGGAAATATTTGTTCATAATGAAAAAAAGATCGCTACTGGGAATAATCTTTTTTTATTGTATGAGTTCTTTATATATGAAGTCAAAAGCGGTGCTATCGTCTTCAGTTTACATACCTTCAAAGGAATTTCGGGTTAAAAAGATAAGCGTGATTTTAGGCTAATTAGAAACATTCTTCACACCGAAGAAAGATCTAATAATCATTTGTTGAACGAAAAAAATATATATATTTCAATAATTTTATCTTTTTCATCGCTTTCACGGCTTAGAAGTTCCGAAACCAGTGTCACTGTGACAGAAATATGTAGACAAATATCGCCTCGCTGTGTGATTCGGTCACGCCATGACCTCTGACTCCCTAATAAGTTCATACAGAACTGAACATAGTTTCTCTTCAATAGGTTCATCTAAGAAAAATATTTGCAAATGTAAATAATATAATTTACATTTTTTACACATTTTACACATTTGTTTACACTCACATATATTTTTAATTGCGCCAGGTAGCAAAGTTTGTATCATTTCTTAACATTCACTTCTGTTTTAAATCACCAACACTGTCTTCTGTTCATTAAATGTGCATGGAGACCCAGTTTGTTTATCAATTATGACCATCCCCGGATCAATTCACTTATTCCTCACACCTGTTGTAGATTATTGTTTCACTCTCTGATGTATGTATGTCTGTAAGCAAGTTCAACGTCAATCTATAACAAAAAGCAATTATTAAAAGAGATGAATGACTTCTTTTCCAACTAAATTAACTTCCACTCATTCATTTTGTGGTCTGAATGGGGATTTTAAGATAAATCAATCCTCATTTAACGCTATAGAGTTGAATTTAAGGTAGTACCTATGTCGGAAAAGTCTTTGTCACAAGATTTTCAAACTTTTCAGAATGATAAATTAGCTCTCCCTTATCAATCAGTTAAAAATATATGGTATGTTTCTTCGTTATTAAATGTAGTGCAGTCTGTGCAACTTGGAAGGATAATTTTACACAGCGACTACATATTTTCAGCCATTTTAAGGGTACTGGTCATAAAGAGAATATAATAAATCAATAAAATACTTCTTCAAACATCGTCGTTTATAGACTTTATTAACTGAACCATATTAAGCAATATTATTCAAGAATATATTCTTTTTTATTCAATTGACATAAAAGATTAAGTCCACATTTCAACGAATATAGGCAAATGTGCTCAATATTTGTTGAGTCAATTTACCACCTAAATTTGTAAATATTTTTCAAAAGTCTTTGTCAGAATGTTTTCAATCTTTAATATGATGAAGAACATACCCAAATAATTACAAAAAGTGATTAAAATATATACCTTTCCCCGCAAACGAATGAGAACACTCTATTTATCCATACTTCTTTTGTTGACCTTTTTGCACTTACGAAGGATTTAATTATTAAATTACTGTTTGGGGATTACGTTCAGATTTACAATGTGAATATTTATCAAAAAATGTATTTTTTTTATTTAAAAAGATAATATTTTCGGGAAACATTATTATTATACACCAACCATCATGAATAATTAACAAATAATTATGAAAGGGAATGCACGTCATTTCATGATAGACATTACAAAATTTACACACAATTTTTAACAGATCTTTGACTCAGACACTTTTCATCAAGATATTGTACTATTTAGATTTCTTAGGATTTTTGCTTTCCTTCAAAATAGTTGCATGTCATTCACATTATCACAGTTGTGTAACTTCATTACATGAGACATTCTTGAAGAAAGTACGGGAAAAAGTAACATTAAATTAATTATGACGTCATAATGGATCTAGCAACAAAAAAAAAACAAAAAAAACAAAAAAACAAAACAGTCTAAACTAATTTTCTCAGTGTGACGTCATACGATAATAATATAACTAAAATAATTATATTGATCTTGTAAGTAAATACAACAAACTGCTGGTTCATAATTCGACTAACATGTTTCATACCAATTGTTTAGCCATTCTGTTGTTTTTTTTTAACTAAATCTGTCTACATATTATTCTGTTTACCTGATCAATACACAGGGCTTAATGCGGGAGGGACAGGTCGACAGGGGATGCTTACTCTTCCTAGGCACCTGATCCCACCTCTGGAATGTAAAGGGAAAGTGTTTATGCCCTGTGAACAAATATGTAATGTGTCGTTTTTAGATTTTTGGAGATCAATTACCTATTTGTTATTTCTCCTATTTCATTTTGAGTTTACCATAATGATATATGGAGATAACGAACGCTTATGAAGCTCAAAATTCAATGAAACAATACAAATTGGGATCAGAGAAAACCCAGACCCCTAAAAACATCAAACGCAGATTCAGGTATCATGGAGGAGTTAGCCCCCCCTGTCGACCGGTTATACCTGTCGTGTGCTCTTTTTCATGATCGGAGAAACGTAAATATTGAAGACAATTTAGTGTGAAATTAATGAACTAACAATTTGTATGATAAACATCGGTCAACATTCGATTGGTTGACTGTATTTGCTGACAAAGTCATTGTATCGACCACAGAATTTGCATAATTTCGACTTTAAGCGAGACTATTGATATTCTTGTTTCATCGACTTCTTTGTCAATAGCTTTAGAAATTGTTCATATGTGCATTATGTTCTAGTGTATCGAATCAACTGGGAAACATATGGAGGTGATAATGCATAAACAAGGGAAGTTGACGATAGAAGAGTTGAGGTCATCACATAATCATAACGTTCTATTGTTCAGTTACCATTAGCCTCTTTTTCTAGTCAAATATCCAAATGTGAAACAGATGTGTTAGACTCTTCGGTATCTTTTATTTCGGGTTCACAGGGAGGGCTGTATCCAATCAATGTAGGAATGAAAATGAATATTGTTAAGTGACAAAAACGTCGTCGATATATCTAAATGTTTTATTGAATGCCACAGCAATAAAAAATACATTGTTATTTTGATTTACGAGGGTTGATCAATAAGTAATATTAACTGCTATAAAATCTTTAATAATCGAACTTTATCAACATAATTTTCCATTCTATTTTGATTATTGCCCTAAAATCTTATTATTTGTGATATAAAATACTTTTGAAAATATGAAGATAGATACAAAATTAAGTTTTGTCTTTCGCCGCTCGGCAAGAATGTTACCGACGTAGTTTTGACGTTTCTTTTCGGTACTTATTTTCAGTTCATCCACAAATCATATAAAACCAGGTGGTTCTTTTTTTAAAATCTTACCATTTTCCTTGTTTTCCTTGCGTCTTGTTTTGAGTTATTGTTTGAAATTATTTGGACTACTTCAAAATGTTACATGTATTTCTAATTTTAATCCTTTTCACGAAGATCTCATTGTCTAAAGTGTGCTTTGAAATTTTTGCAAGGAATGCCCCTTTTCCTGTTGCCGAATCTTCCCTATCCTCCCAATATCTCCCGTTTTTACTGAACCCTGGATCCGCATATTTTATTCTAATATTCTCACACAGTAAAAATGAGGCCCCACCCCCTTTATTAAGCCTTAACAGAGTTGCATGTGTAGATAACACATTTAGAGAAAACTGGCAAAAACAAAAAGAGTTATGATGCCACAGATAATTCTTTTGTCACCCAAATTTTTCCATTACTAAAATAACCTCAAGTTCATTCCATGTTTCTTTATAATAATATAATGTTTACTTGTCAATACGTAACAACCACTTTTGGTCTCCAGTGAGTCCGAGTTCATTTGCAATTAAAAGACAGAACAACTTTGTTTTGTGAGAAAGGTCATTTATTCAATTTACCACAAATATATTTGATCAGTTGATGAAATTAGTGTCAATCATTGATTAACCAAAAAATGACTGAATAAATGACAATAAATTTGCAAAGGTGAGGTTAAAAAACCGCACATCAATAAAAAATAACATGAGTATAAAAAAAAAATGTTATATACATACAATTTTGAAACCCAGGTGTTTATTACAAAATCATTACTAAGTTGTAGAAAACAGCAAGTTGTTACCAGAATATAATTATAATAACTGAACAACACAAAAACAAAAATTACAGTTTGCTTGTGATTTAGGACTGATGAATTGTTTAACAAATTATAGCAGGGTGCTGGTGGGTGGGAAAATTGATTTCTTGTCAAAAAGTTTGGTGCGTCTGGCAGCTATTAAAACAAAGAAGTGATTAAATTGTGGCTTCTCTAGCCAAGATAAGATTTCAGTATATGAGTACTTAGTTCTGATTGGATAAAATTAATTGGATTAAGACTGGCCATTGCATACACAGTGTCCCTGCCATGCCAGA